TCCTCCTGTCCCACTATCATGCTCAGTCCCCACCAGGATTTCAGCACTTCCTCTTTGTTACATTCCCCTTGATCATGCCCTACCAGGTACAAAGCCATCTTTCAAGAAGAATTTAAATCTACAAATATTGAATCTAGAAATATAAAAATTGATATATGTAGCCCTTGGATAGTTGGGAGTGGGGCTGAGGGTGTACGTGTGTGTATGTAGACAGAGAGCATGGGTACTCAACAAAGCAAATAGGGTAAAATGTTAATATTTGCATCTAGGTAAAGGGTATATAGGTGTTCTTTGTACTGTTCTTATGCTTTCAGCTTTTCTGTAGGCTTGAAAATGTTAATTAATAATCAAAGGGACTAAGATAATAAATGTTGAATCATTATAATGAATATTTCTTCTGATACCTATCCTTAAATATAACTAGCTGCTGTTCTATTTTTTCATTATTTGGGCACACTCTGTTTTCCACCTCCAATCCAGACTGGATTCCAACACATTGAACTCACAGGTATAGGAATGAAACAACCGATTCTTTTCTGCACAAGGATCAGATGTGGGAATTCATGTGCCATGATTCTGGCGTCTCAAGCAGTCATTTTCTATTAACCATTCGGGCAAATTCTCTGTGATCTCTTATCACCATGAGCTGTCTTTCTTTCATTTCTGTGCTACACAGTGAGAAATTCTCACTACTAGTATCTGCAATCAAGTTATTATAAATGGCACATTTATTCAGTAAGTAGATGCCAGTGGAGGTCATTATGATGATTTAATCTATCAATAGCAAACTACAACAGATACCATCTTGGAAATCCTCATTACTCCAGAGTTGACACAAACAATACGGTATGTGGTGTGTTTTTGTGAAAAAATTGCAAGCATGCCATCAATAACAGAAGCTCATCACATGTTCCAGTCAAAAGAAGGTAATTTATTATTATTATCATCATCATTAGCACAAAACTAAATCCACTACTAAAACAAAAAAGACACCATAAAGCACGTGACTTGCTGACAGTGTCAATAACATTATCTTCATGTACAAGGGACAGCACCCTGAGGATATAGGCCATATCACAGTTTAATCATCAATTCAATAATTCAATCAACAGATAGTGAGCACCTAGGCACAATGGAAGATTTAAAAATGCATACAAGAATCCCTGCTTTCTCGGAGTTTTTGTCTAGTAGTAGGAGGTAATAAAAAACACCAAGAGTACAGGTCCACATGAAATCAGTGCCCTAAGAGATATTTGGATCACTAGGGGAGTAGGGCATCACATTAATTACTGTAGATTAATATCACATTCAGTTGGGGGAATCAGAAGAGGCTCCACAGACAATGTGGTATCTGAGCTCAGCCTTGAGGCCCTGGGTGGATTTGGGCAGACAACATATGGAGAAGGGCATTGTAGGCAGGGAGAATAATGTGGGCCAGAGTGGCATGCTTCGGGAGAGAACAATAATCCAATTTGGCTAGTATATGAGGTTTGTGCAGTGGGAATGGGGTGGTCAAAAGCTAATAAAAGTTATATAAACAACAACCCAAAAAACCCCCACATTCAGTGCCATAGAAACAATTATGGCTCTTAGAAACCCTATAGGACATTGTAGAACTGTGCCCATGGGTTTTCCAGACTGTAACTTTCTTTCATGAATAGAAAGCCCCGTCTGTCTTCTACAGAGTGGCTGTGGTTCCAAACTTCTGACCTTGTGGTTAGCAGCCCAGTGTATAACCCACTATGCCACCGGGAATCCTCCAAAAGTCACATAATCTGCAATCTATAGCTTGGTAACTGTATCTACCCACAGCAATAAAAGTTGCAATTACTTGTGAAAAGATAGGATCCTTTCATTTCCAGATCCCTTAGGGAAAAACAAGTGGTTTCTAGGCAATGTTATCACTTTGCTCTAACAAATGTCCTAGCAGATAAAGCCAAGCAACTTATAGATTTTCCTTGTTTGCATCCAAGTAAATCACTTCCTCAAGGTCTTTATTCTTTCCATCCAGAGACCATGCCTCTTTCCACTCCCGTCTTTAGTTCCACCAGTTTTTGTGGCCTGTGTTCAGTTTATGCACCGCTCTCAAGTGGATTTCTATACACAATGACCCTGTAAGATAGAGTAGAACTTCTGCTTAGTGTTTCCAGGACTGCAATCTTTAGCAGCCCATTGGGCCAAGAGGGCTCCTTCTGATCAGTTTAGGAAAGTCCAATTTATGATTTCCAGCCATAGTGGTACCTTTGAAACTAGGACCCACAGTCTTGTAAAGTGGGGTGGTGGTGGTCATGGTGGTAGGGGTCCTAAACAACGTCATGGAAATGTTGTCATCTGAGCAGTTTTATGGAGTTTCTCATCATAAGGCTCAAGGGAAGCTCTTTGAAACTGGAGTTTCTGGTCCTCCATTTGGTTTAGTTTAGAGGGCAATTCAAGGGACCCAGAACTTTCAGGACTTGATTAAGGTCATTCTTTGAAGTTTCCTCTCATTCTCGAGATATCCCTAAAAGTAGTGATATTTCAACTGGGTTACAGTTTTTTAAAGGCCTGCAGAGTGTGAGGCTACTGAAGCTGTAGATAGACTTGGGTGAGTTTTTCTTTCTGTCCAAGGAATCGTGTTGGATTTTGTTTGTGTCCAACAGGCTGGTAGTTGGGAACATCAGCCATGCAGTGACGGCTCACAGATGGCTGTCTTAGGTACCCAAGCCAAAGAAGAAAGCTACATAGAACCAACCCCAAATGCCCTGCCCACCCTTTCAGCAGTGGTCAGTCTCTGAACTCTTTCCTGGTGTAGAACTTCCTCTGTAGGAAGTCATGGATTGCAGTTGTGATGCCCCAGGTCACACTGGACCTTAGGATGACCAGGGAACCCCCACGGTAGATCAGGGACATCTTTCGGCCCCGAGTATCCCATACCTCCTTGACAGAGGCCCATAGGCTAGGCATGTCCTGCCAGCCAATATGGGACTGCATATTGGCCACAAGCACGATCAGAGGATACAGAACTAGGCAGGTGATTGTTCCATTGACGCTACCTGACACCAAAGCAGGAACCCAGTGGGGCAGACCTTGTTCTTCCAGGCCTTCCTTGATGGGGTCCTTGAAGGAGAAGTATAGAGCACTCCCCAGGCTGTTCCTGGCAAGGACAGGCCAGAAACCCCGATAGTAGCCCCGTGACAGCCGCCCCCAAAACCCATAAGAGTTGAATTCTTTGAGGATGCTGAAGGTGCTAGGAAAGCGGGCTTGCTTGCGACCATCCTGAAGCACATTCTGCACCCTTTCAAAGGGGCTGAGCGCCACAGCCTCGACCACACCAGACATGAGCCCTGCTTCCCAGCGTTGCCCCAGGGAGTGAGGCCCAACGGGGGAGAGCAAGCTCAGCAGGCTATCATAGGTCCCAAAGAGTAGAGTCCCTTGCAATGTCTTGGAGAGAAGAGGCGGGTAGATTCCCCGGTAGAAGTATCGGGGGCCTTCATGCCAAAGCTGTCTCACAGCCTCAGACACTGCCACAGCATGGATCTGTTGCCGAAACACGACCTTATAAACAGGAAAAGTCAGAAAAGTTGACATAAAGTTGGAAATAGCCCCAAGGGCATAGGCCTGAGAGGGCCAGAGTTTCTTTCCTGGAGTCTCTGCTCTCGTCCTGTGCTGGAGCTCCTTCCCAGAAGATTGGTTCTGTTCTCCCATACTGAAGACAACTGGGAGCAAATGGAGGAAACTGGCAAGAATGGAAAAGGAGATGTTAGGTCGGGCATTTAATTCTGTTGATAAGCGTTTTCAATGCTTAGGGGAAAAGGAGTTCCAAGCAATTCAGTTCTAAGGAAACTCTTTGGGCCAGGTTCTTAAAAATCGGCCCAGCCTTAAGAACAAAAGAACTCATCACATTTAAATAATGGTGGTTGAGATACAATGTGGTAGGTGAAAGGAGCACAGAGATGTGTGGGGAGGGGAAGGAGGTGGGAACATACATGCCGACCTGGGGGAATTCACACCAGAAATGACAGGGACAGGAAGTCTGGTAGGACCTACAGACCTAAAGCTTTCACACAGAAACCTCAGCTGTGCTGTCTGCCCTAGAGATTATACAGGTTAAGTCCCAGAGGAGGGTGCTAACATTCTAACATGTTAGCCTTCGATGGGCCACTCAGTCAGGACACAGAGGGTACAGCTGAGTCCCTGAGGAAGGGGTAGAAGTCAGAAGCTGTGAGGAGCCAGCTACAGCCTTCCCCAGGCTGCCCCTCCCACAACTGGACTTGAAGGGCTTCTCCTTCCACAATCACTTGCATTGGCTCTTGCTCCCAGGCTCTTGCTCCTGCTCCATTCAAAGCCCCTCAATCTAGCCTTACTACCACACGCTCCCCTGGAACCACATTTCATGAAGGAGGTGGAGTCATAGCCTTCTCCCTTTCTGCTCTGCCCCACCCCAACATTTGCAGTTCCACTCAAGCTCCTAGATTCCCAGGGCCCTCAAAATCCCTCAGCTCATGGCTCAGACTGCTGACCTTATGGTTAGCAGACCCCCATAAGCCACCACACCACCAGAGCTCCTGCCCCAAGTCTTACCTGCACGTAAATAATGATGGCTTGTGAGTTACATATCTGTCCCCTCTTCTGCCTCAGAATGCAATCATGCTCTACTTCCTGCCCATCTTTTCCTGAGCATGCTGTCAACACATGTTCACTGACTGCACAGGGCAGGCTAATGGAGCAGAAAGAAAATGACCAGCACCTGGGGGACGAGCATTCTAAGTGGCAGTTCTGCTATCACTGTCCTGTGTGGCCTTTAGAAAGGTATGGACCAGATTGCAGCCCCTTTGCCTCAGTTGTGAAATGAGCAGACAGGACAAAATGCTTTCGAGGCATTCTTCTACTGTGCAGGATCACAGCAGGTGTCAGAACAGTTGGGCCAATATTCAGCAGGGCGTTTGCAGCCCAGATTCCTTCTGCCATTTTTAGCAAATCATTTTTAGGAATTAAAGGTGAACAACACTTAAAAATCACTTTCCCTATTGAATTGAATTCATCATTCTAAAGGCATATTTTAGAAATCCAATTCTTTGTATTTGATTGTGGGGGGCACTTTTCTCTGATATATATATTTCTGGTGTTTTCGTAAAGATGCTAAATTCTGGGGACACATAGATGGGAGAGGTTAGATTCTGCCTCTGCCACTTATTTGGGCTTCCTTATTGACTTGACTCTGTGACCTTTGGTTTTGTGTTCTTAGCTACAGAAGAGGGACCAGAAGACCTACCTAAAAAGTTTCCGATGCATAAGAGTAAAATTATACCAAGTGGTTGAGCATCCCTGGCATGGTGCCCTTCATTAAAAACAAACCAAAAGAGGTTATAAAAAAAATAACCACCCCCACAAACACACAGAAGCAACCCAAGAAAACAAGATGCTTCCCACCTTCATTTCTGTCTCCTGGGGGACTAGAAATACTGGTGGTACAAATACATGCTCCTGGCACCTACAGGCTACTCTCAGGCCATTCACAAAGCAGTTGAAGGGCCTTTGTTAGTTCCTGCGGGAGGCAGAGACCTATTTTTTGTGATGCAAAGAGGCTATATAAACAATCCTGGAGAGA